ATTGTGTTCACTCCACTGAATCACACCGTAAATGCATATACTTTTAATGATCTACTTCACTGCTGCCTTCTTCTGCTGCTGAGAAAAGGGCCAGTCAAGCAACAACAACAACAAAAGGGCAGCAAGTGGCCCCCAAGCTCTGCTTCATATTTTTTAAACGCACACTCAAATACATTGGCAAAGATTATTGGCAACAATACTGGTAGTATTTCTCAACCAATACCGACATAAACCAATTGGGAGTGGTGATATTAAAGAGACCTGTAGGGCTTCAGCCATGTTTATGATTTTTTTAAACGCACACTCAAATACATTGGCGAAGATTACTGGCAACAATACTGGTATTATTTCCTCAACCAACACCATAAACCAATTGGGAGTGGTGATATTGAAGAGACCTGTAGGGCTTCAGCCATGTTTCTGACCCCTGCTCTCTTCATTTTCTCCTGTGTCATTCCAGGATCCTTCTGAAATGCCAGGAGATCACATGGGGCCAAACCACAGAATGTGATAGTTTATCAGTAGAAGCTGAAGCACACTGGTGTTCCAGAGAGATGATTTTGGTGGATGTGCATGACTAAGCAACCATTCTTGCAAACTAAGCCTGTGCTTATGTCCCAATGGCCAACCAAAGCTCAGTTATGAACCATAGAAAGTGGGGAAAGCTCCTACTGTGACAATCATATGTTTTCAGTTCATAAGAAAGGAGGAGGCAGGGCAGGGAAGCCTGGGGCACCCACACAACACCTGTGGGCCTGATCCATTGAACTGTACTGAACTGCTGAAGTGCCGAAGCAGAGTTCGTGTGATAAAAACTCACTCTTAGCTTAAATCAAGTTTTCTGCTTTCAGCATATGTGAAGGAGGTCCTGGGGAGAGTGTGCCAGCCCACGAGAAAGAGAGAAAAGAGGGAGTAAGGAAGCTAGAAGGTGCTGATTTGGAAGCAGACCTGAAGGAGAAGTTAGCTACAAAGGGGGAGAAAACAGAGCGAGGCGGGAAATTTGAAATATGTCTGGTGGAGGAGAGCAGGAGTCAGAAGAAGGAGGAGCAAGAGCTGTCAGTCTAGGAAGTGGGTATAAGTAATCAGGGAGAGCAACGGTTTGAGGTAGAATTGGAGCTGTGGAAACGTAAGAGAGAGCTGGAGAGGTTGCGTGAGTACGAAAGAGTAAAGACGCAAGCGTTATTACGGGATTTTCCTAACCTTAAGTTAGGAGGGTTACTACCGGACCCCACACCAAAGGGAGTAGGTGAGGTGAAACAAGAGACGCTGGAATGGTCGGTCATAGTCTCCCCTAAGAATGAAGGTAGAGGACGCCAAGTGATTCACTCGGACTCTTGGTATAGCACCCCTCCTCCAGAAGGAGACAGGGCCCGGCATCCATGCTGCTGCACCATTTGTGCAGTATGGAGCGCTCCCCTCCGGAAACCCACCAACGCGGAGAAGTTTGGCCCAGCACCCCTGTGAGTTCTGTGGATGTGGGGCGGGAATTCGCCCGGCATCCATGCTGCGGCACCATTTGTTGTCAAAATCTGAAACAGAATCCGATCACAGCATATGAAATCCGAATGTCATTTTTTGATCCAATTATGAATAATATTGATCAGCATGTAACCAATAAAGATGAAGTTATGAAAGAAGACTTTTCCTGTGATATTTCCCGCACAAAATGAGTTGTCAAAATCTGAAACGGAATCCGATCACAGCATATGAAATCTGAATGTCACTGTGATACAGAATGTACATTTGGGTTTGAAACACTGGCTTTTAATGTTCAAGTGACACTGTTACCTCCACAGACTAAAGCCCTCCTGATTATACTGGTAAAAGAACTAGTATTTGAACCTCATTTTGCTGCAATTGCATGAATGTTAAAAAAGTGGATCACAGTGGAAACCGCCGCCCCCCCGAACTTGCGTTATTCTATGTGGAAAAGTGTCATTTAACCTCCTCCCGGTAGGGTCATTTATTTTAGCTTGGGGGCTGAAGTCATGGTCTAATGTCTTGAATTGCCCAGTGTGCCCTGATCTCCTGCCATAAACTGCTCCCTGCCCAGCTGCCCTCTGCCACCCAGCTCTTTGGCTCCATGTCCCCTTGCTCACCCTGCTTGATCCCTGCCAGCACAAGCCTCCCAGCACCCTCACTCATCCTCCCTGACCGATCCTCCTCCTCCTAGGTCCCTCGCTCACCTTCCCTACTTGATCCCCCCCCCTGAGTTGTCTTTGGGCAGAAAGATGGATCAGAGGCACAGATCTCCATGGATCCATATGATTTTTATGTAGGATCATCTCCCTGAAAAAATCTCAGTCACAGGAACAATCTCAGCTCACAGACTGAACAATGTTTGGGGGCCGATCCCATGTTAAAATCATGGGGATTCAGAAGGATCCATATTTGGATCAGTATTTTTTGGACAACTACAAAACCAGGCACCCTTTATTTCTGTGGTACATTCTGTGGATACAAATGGGAACAGCTGGAACATTCTTAAAGGGACAGAAGTACTGTAGTCAAGCTTTCTAAAGGGACAAGCAGCTTTGTCCCCATCTCACCCCAGCAGCTGGGGTGAGTGGCCAGCATGAGGGCAGAGTGGACAATCTTCGAATGAAATGATTTAAGAAGCTAGCGTATCCCCCTCAACCCAGCTTTAAAACATATTAACAGTTTTCCCAAGAGGACACAATCACAGCAGTCTAAAAATGTAATGCCTTAACCACTATCTCAAGGATATGCAAACAATGATCAATTTACCATGTGATTGTCACATGAATTTAAACTGCAGCTGAAAGACAAACAAAAAACAAAACAAAACAAAAACTCCTATGCATATCACAGGCAGATGCCACATTGTCTGATCTTCCAAACATCATTAGGAAGTAAAGAACCGCTCACAGGCTAATACCTTCCCATTCCCTTGAAGAAATAACTTGTGTGCAAGGGTCCAAAGGGAAATTCTAAGTATGTTTCTTTGAATATGCTTAGAATCTCCCTTAAGATTTTCATGCTCAGTGCTCAGAAATATATGAAGCATGCAAACCAGCACACACTCAAGACATCAGGTATGGAAATGTCTGGGCTGCTCAACCTAGTTCTTTCTTATACATCCAATTTCCACATAGTTTGGAACAATATCGGGTAATTTAGCATGATTTCTAAACCCGTGTTAGATCTTACCACTTTCCAAACTGTAGATGCAGCTATGCAAACAACAGTTTGAGCTAAACCACTGTTTAAAAATGAAAAAGAAATAAACATTAACCATGATGGACAACCAAAAGAAAAATTGTGAAAAAAAATTAAGTGGAAGAGGGAAGAGAAGGACAGGTAGAAACTCACAAAGTCTTCGCATTCACCAAATTGTGTTTAGGAAATGAGGCGTATATCTGCATATACTTAGTGTTACCTGTTAAAAGCAAGCATAGTCTATCCCTAAATGTTTTCTTTCTTTTTTCTATAAATCAAAGAGTTGAACTTCTAAGGCAGCAAATTATTAAAGGATTTCAAGTTGACTAGTTCCTGTTGTTTAACCAATATTTATCTGACACATTTAAATAAAGCATTCATATTGCCAAAATTTCTGTTAATATGCTTTTCTAGCATGAACTATCAGTGTGGAGTGAGAGACAATGTATTGATCAACAAAAGGTACTTAGTTTTTAAGGCCATCATTGAGACTGTGCTTCTTATTAACCCACAATACCAAAACCCCAAAGAAAGTTCAGAAAAAGAGGAAAATTGCAACCACCTCATGAATATACTGAGGATACAGCTCAGAGCAGACAAAGTATAACCTCTAGCTGTTATTGGACTGTATGTCCCATTATTCCTCACCATTGGCAATGCTGACTATGACTGATGGGAGCTGCAGTACAAAAACTTCCGTAAGTCCACAATGAGCCCAGTCCTGATGCAGGTGATAAAGGAGGTCATGTCCACATGTCTGAACAGTCAGGAATTAATCACCTTTAGGAGGAACTGTGCAGCTCTTTTCATAACGGGAGAAAGAAAACAAACCTATTGAGTAGGTGGGAGACTATTATTAATTCATAATTTGCACAATGCCATCAACACACGCGGTGCTTTGTGGAGTAATAACAGAAAGGCATGTTCTTCTTCCTACAAAATGTTCACAGTCAAGAACTGGGGAACTGACTCCGTTATTATCTGGCATCCCCAAACATAGCAGGACTATGATTCTAATAATTCCTACTCTACGTATATGGGCAATGGTCAGGAATTCTGTCAGTTATAATTCAACAACATCTGTGGATGTGAGGCTGGGAACCACTGAGCAGGTTTCATTTCAAATGGAGGTGAAGGGTTCTGCTTTTGGCTTATGTCAAAGTTCTGTATGAATATTCATCAGTCTGCTTTGTTTTGTATCTATAAGGGCTGGCAGTTCTTTAATCCATATCAAAATTCATATTTAGATATACATTGTTCAATATATTTTCTCATAAAAATCCACTCTTCTAAATGCATTATATCCTGAATCATAGAGTCCTAAGCATTTTGCCCTAAAAACATGTTTTTAGCACAGTTTGGAACTTTTCAGAGCCAGGAAATGCATTGCTAAGTTTAGAAAAGTCTGAAATCCAACAGATAACTGCATTCCAATCTACACATCAGTCTTGGGAGTTTGAATCAGAGCAGTTCACAGTAGAATTCACAAAGAATAATTTTCTCAAGCAACAAAGTTTCCAACGAGGGCATTGACAGCTAAAGGGGTATTCAGACAAAGGCTTTATAAAAATGGATTTGAGAGATTTGAGGAACTGTTAAGAGATGGAGCATTACATCGGTGCTCTGAGGAGCAGCAAAGATGAAAGGGAATAATTATGTTAAAAAGCAGAACATATTTGGGCAGCTGAGAATAGCAAGTGTTCAGAAAAGAAACAATGGTAATATACAGAATGATGCTACCCTTGTGGAAGGAGACACACCCCTTTTTTAGGCTTACCAGCACACTTCCCAAAGACTTGGTCCAAAGACTTGGACCTTACCTTGATTTGGCAGGACTTTGCCTTTATTGAGCTGCTTGAGGCGCTTCTGGTGAGATTTCCCATTGTAGTGGATCTGGGCCTGGACGGCTGAATTGAGCTGGATATTGCACACCTCACAGAGTGTGAATGTTGGGTGCTTCTTCTCTCTTTTCGAGCGCTGCTCTGGCAGGCTTCCTATACCAGTACTGTCTGTTAAGTTCCCGCAGATGCCGCTCTCAGGGGAGTGGCATGGGCTTAAAGGGCGCTTCATTCCTAGGGGAGAATGAGAAGAGGCAAAAAAGAAAGAAAAAAAGTAGGTACTAGGAACCCGACCGATGAGATTGCAGCCCATGAATATTTTGGGAAGAATCAAAATTGCAGCTTTAGTTCTCCTTGATAACAATGAGCTATTCAAAATCTGCCCACAGATGGGATACATAACAAACAGAACAATATAATACCGGTCAGGGATAAGGAATGTGAGTGCCCCTTTCAAATAATGTTTGCCTACAGTTCCCATCAGCCCCAGCCACTATAGCCAATGGCCAGGCATGAAGGGAGCTAGAGTTCATCAACACCTGCAAAACCACATGTTCCTCTGTCCTGCTTTGAAGGAAATTACCTTTCCTTTGGCCCACACAGCAGTTTACTTGAACTGAAGCCATTGCCTGATCCTGCTACAAGAACTGTGAGGCCTATGTGAGACCCATATTTCTAGTTCAAGGCAACCTTTTTCACTGGTGTATAGGGGACTGAAGACTTTAGTATCAAATGGCAATGAATCTGTTTCCTTCCCTATTCTAAGTGCTACTTAAGCCCTATATTTGCACAACCATTCATTCTAAAATTAGCCAGTATGAGATGCTTTCAGCTTAGATTTATTGATTTGAGCTCAAATGGTGAATCACAGGTTTAAGTGAACCAAGAATGCACCAAAACAGGTAAGTGAAGATCAGGGATTTCTGACTCATCACTCTTGTTTCACAGCATGTGATACTACAAAACTACTGCAATGCTAGGTGAACGAAGTTTATTTATTCACAGGAGAATTTATAAAACATATTTCATACTTCACTATTGCCTCTGAGACAGCACACTAGAAAACATTAGAATAAAAATTAAGCATACACTTATCTAGAACGAGAAGGCAAGTTTTGTGAGCAATTGAAATAAAATCGGTAAAGGGATGCAGTTAAAACACCCTGGAGTTCCTTATTTAAATACACATAAGTCTTCATGTCTAGAGTAGGCTTAACGATAATGACTATATGAGTATCAGCGCAGTGTCAATCCTTACCTAACTTTCTTTTACAACATGAAAAGAACCCATTGGGATCCATGTTACCAAGCAATTGTAATGTCTCATACAAGATCTCATACAAGTTCTGGCACATGAAATGTGAACTATTTTTTCAATTATGCCAGATTTATGCCTCTAGAGCTTGATTAGATGTAGAAGACAGGCATGCTTGTGTCAATCTTATCCCAGAACCAGTTTTTATGCGATAGGACAACAAGTCTAGGTATGGCTGTAAGAAGAAGGCATGGCTATTAGATTGAACCAGGGATTGGATTAACTCTCCAGTTCTGCTTAGTTGAATTTGGTGAGAAGTCAGCATGAGATCATTCGACACAAGCCTGTTCACACTGGCATATAGTTACAGTACAGTATATGGTTCCCTAACAGCACTGTTTGGCATGGGGGAAAAAAGACCTTGTCTACTTGTGTTTCTACTTGAAAGGAGCCATCCTTCCTCTTTAAGACCTGACCTGTATCTTTCTGGCACAGTGCTAGAGCATGCATTTTTTGGGGGATGATTTTAGGACCTTTTAAGCACAGTCCCCATTGCACCTCTGCCATATACGAGTTAACAGAAGAAATTGTGATGGGTTTAATTATCAACTGCAGGCCTGTACCAAATGGGGAACATCAGAGTTCATTTCTTCTGTTCTTATTCAATGGCTTGGCATATTCATTTATAGAGTGGCGGCGGCTACTTTTTACATCAAATGAGATGTAAGAATGTGCCTCCTCCTCCTCCCTCACCAATAATATGCCTCTATGATGAAGGGTTTCTGGGTGTGTGTGTGTGTGTTTACATAGGAAAAAAAGCAAAAGAGTTTCCATGACGTTATGCATCATGCAGAGGCAAGGATCAGAAAGAATGTTTTCTTTTTCGTTCCTAATAGTAGAATCTGGAGTGGTTATCATCCCCATTGTTATTGTCATTGTTACCCTCCTCCTCCTTGTTCCTCTCTTACCAAAAGCAGGATCGCATCAAGGCAATTGTAATTATGGATGTGGCAGCTATAAACAATGATGTTGTGATGCACTCAGACGAGCCTCTGAAGTTTTCAGCCAAGACTTTTTCCCTCCCTCACAAATCTTCTTTCTCTGTTTACTTTTTCATGAATGCTTGAGGCCATTCAGTAAAATAAAAGTGTCAGAGATTCAGGACAGGAAAAGAAAAGTCTATCACTTACAGCATGGTACAGTAAAACTGTGGCATTCACCACTGCAGGATGTCATGATGGGCACAAACTTGTAGAGCTCCAAGAAGGCATTAGACAGACTCATGGAGAATGAGGCTACTACTAGAAACAGTTACTAGCCATTTATCGCTATAGATTATCAGTCCTGGTGGCAGGCTATATCTGGGCTCTTCTAGACAGTACATCTGTTCTCTGTAATGTACCTGATTTGTCACTTGTGTTATCGGTATTTTCCCTGTCATTCATATAGTATCCCCTTTGTTTCAATAAAAATTGAGATTTTCCATGATCTCCCATAATTTTTTGTCCCTCTTCAAGGGATGGTCTCTTTCATCCTAGGTTTTTCCCCAGGGGAGTGAGGGGACATTTAGTGTTATGGTACTTCCCAGGAAGTTCATTTCCAGATCACAGACAGTAAATATTTTTAGAAATATTTACCCGCCTTTCAATTTTCACACATCCACAAATGGTTCTAGAAGAGAACATCCAGCAGGGAAGTGGATTTCTTACATGTTTATTTAAAGGAGTCAAAGATAATTTTTCTTTTCTTTTCAGAAGTGACTTTTTTGAAAGTGAGGTTTGGATATTGGTAAACGAACAAGAACCAACTGGGAGAAAGAGGGTGGAACTTTTCTTCTCTCTGGAAAAGCTGAGGACCTGTTTCTGGGGAATCGTTGTGGTATGGTGCTTCTTCCATAGGGAACTAACTGTAGGAACAGAATGCTGTATTAGTGAAACTTTTGGTCTTGTTTCTTTTGTTCTTACATTACAGGCACTTTCCCCTCAGACCCAGCTGATTGTTCAGTATCAAGGAAATATGTAATATGTTTAGGTGTTCTGCTCTCCTCATCTGTATGACAATTTTGATGTTAAAATAAGATTTTGCTTTGTATTTTATATGCAAGCGGCCCCTTGAATTAACAAACATGGATGCCTCTGTGACATTTGTCTTGCTCTCAAAGTGTTTTAGAATACTGTCAGAGGTCAAAGAGCGAAAAGTTCAGGAGCATGACAACTCCACCTCATCCTCACATCCTGGCAGCTTGCAAGAATGCTCAATGTACCTCTATTTATCTCCTTTGTAATGACAAAACGTCCTCTGAGATCTGCGCCATAACGTGCAGATGTACAGCCGAACACCAAATGGAGAGGAAACTAGAATGACATACTCTCGGTTTTGTGACTGGATGGTGCAAGAATTTAAAGCAAACAAATATTAGAAATTATTTCTAATGAATGGTAGATGGGTGAATTGTCCAACAGTAAGCTATAGCACTAGTTCCAGATGCATGGAAAATATATGCTTATTTCGGTACATTTTCATCCAGTCTTTCCCATAAAAAATCCCAAAAACAAAATATAAAAGGGCAACGAAGAAGAATAACAATATCATAAGAACAGAACTGAAACCATTAAAATCAATAGAACAGAATTTTTTTAAAAAAAAACCAGACTGAAGAGGTAAGTTATACTGTAAACATCCTCCCAAATCCAAGGCCCTTCAGGTCTCCCTTGCACCCTGCCAAGGTCTCAGATGACCTCTGACCCAGATGTGCTATGATGTGCTACTGAGTTTCCGGTGCATACATTTCATTAACAGCTTTCCCACAGGTGACCAGGTTATTTTTAATATTGGCTGAAATTAAAATTGGAAAGTGATCTGGACAAATTGCTTCCAAAAGGCTGCTGCTCTCTAAAAAAAGGACACTCAGCCACTCAAATTAGACTGGCCTACCGTCGCAGCTCCAGTTACCAAGTTTTAAATAACTATTCTATATTGCAGATATGCTCATCTCATTCACTTAATCTCTCTGGTGCCTCTTTGTCCCTCTTAGAATATTAGGCACTACAAATCGGCAATTTGTCTTTCTGCCCAAATATGTCACTGGCATTCACCAAGAGAAGTCAAGATCCCTATATAGGTGTTATTTACTAGGGATGTGCATGACATAAACTTTTGTTTCTGTTTTTGGTTCCATTTCTTTGAAGAGGGGCTGCCTCTTTTTCCTTTGTTTTCTTCCTATAACACTCCTTTCGTTTATCATGAAAGGGGCCCCCTCTTTCAGGTCACCTAGGTTCATCTCCCCTCACTGAGTAAGGCAAGGAGAAGGAAGGAAAAGAGCATAGGGCTGGCAGGGCAAGGAAGGGCATGGTTGACAGCATAGCGTGAGGCAAAAGGAGAAGGGCCGATGCAGCAACAAGGTTCAGGACAACAGTCACAGTGGCAAGGCAAAAGGAGAGCGGGGTGAGTGGGCACTTTGTTGGAATATCAGTGTGAAGCAATTTTACATACATTGGTGGAATGAAGACAATTAATGAGGGAAACATGAATGAGCACAGAACATCTGAGTTCCTCTTGTTCTTTCAAATGGATAATTTAGGGATGCAAGGAAAGAATCTAACAACGAATGTCAGAGCCTCTTCCATGTTGCTTTTCATTCATCTTCACCCAAAAGTCCAATCCCTATTATTCTGCCATCTGAAGACAATGTCCAAAGAAGAGATCACCTAAGTCTCATCTCTCATGTCATTGCTTCCTGCATGTCTGGAAACATTCCTGTGGGTGTGAAGGACCTTCATAGGAGTAAAAAATGAGATGAGTTGGAAATATCCAATGAACCTCAAACAGAAAGAGAGATGAAGTCTCATGTAGAAAAATTAGTTTAATTCGGCTTTTTAAAGCCAGGCACTTCAAAATGTACTGGCAACTGATTATTTAGAGGGTTTTTCCCCGGGGCTATATAAAAAAGAAGAAGACAGGGACGATAAAGCAATTACAG